CCAACTCTCTTAGCCCCTCCTCGTAGGAGAGGTGCTCCAGCCCTCGGATCATCCCCATGGCTCTCCTCTGGACACGCTCCAGCAGGTCCATGTCTTTCTTATGTTGAGAACTCCAGAGCTGGATGGAGTACTCCAGGTGGGGTCTCACGAGAGTGGAGTAGAGGGGCAGAATCACCTCCCTTGACCTGCTGGCCACAGTTCTTTCGATGCAGCCCAGGATACGGTTGGCGTTCTGGGCTGCGATTGCACATTGCTGACTCATGCTGAGCTTCTTGTCAATCAGCACACCCAGGTCCTTCTCCTCAGCGCTGCTCTCCAGCCATACCCCACCAAGCCTGTGTTTGGGCTTGGGATTGCCCCGACCCAAATGTAGGACCTTGCACTTGGCCTTGTTGAATTGCATGAGGTTTGCACAGGCCCACCTCTCCAGCCTGTCCAGGTCCCTCTGGATGGCATGGTCAGTTGTTGTCCACCAGGACCCCCAAGTCTGTTTCTGCAGGGCGGCTTTCCAACTGGGTGGTCCCCAGTGTGTATCAGTGCATGGGGTAATTCCTTCCAAGGTGCAAGACTTTGCATTTCTCCTTGTTGAACTGTGTGAAGTTCTTGTCAGCCCATTTCTGCAACCTGTGAATGTCAGGACAGTCATCTGGTGTATCATCTGCAAACTTGCTGAGGGTTGTTTCTGTGCATCACCTGTATCATTAATGAAGAGGTTAAACAGTACTGGCCTCACTGTCAACCTCCGGATGCACACCACTAGTGACTGGCCTCCAGGTGGACTTCATTTGGCTGATCACAACACTCTGGGCCCAGCTGTTCCATCAGTTTTCAGTCTACTTCAGTGTCTATTTTTCTAGCCTCTACTTTGTATGCTTGTCTGTGAGGATGTTATGGGAGACAATGTCAAAAGCCTTACCAAATTCAAGGTAAACAGCATCCATTGTTCTCCCCTCCTCAGTTCAGCCAGTCACCTGTTTGTAGAAGCCTATCAAGTTGATTAAGCACTATTTACCCATCGTAAATCCACACTGACTACTCTTGATGACCTTCTTGCCCTTCATATCTTTGAAAATGGTTTCTAGGATTACTTGCTATTATCACCTTCCAGGGATTGAGGTGAGGGTGAGCAGCCTGTAGCTCCCTGAACCCTTCTTCTTGTTCTCTAAGATAGCAGTGACATTTTCTTTTTTCCAGTCCTTTTAGCAACTACAAAGATTGTGAAGGAATAATTTTGGGAAAATCTTTTTTGTAATCTTGAATAGAAATATGTTTCTGTGTATGAAGAAAAACATACTTGTTCTCTAAGGCATTTTTTTCTGTTTTTCTGCAATTTGAATTCTTCTAGGACGTAAAATAAAATATTATCTTGCATATTTAGCAAGCGTGGATTTCAGTTGTATATCCCAGAACATAAGACTGAAGAAAAGCTGGTGAAGACAGGTTTCCTAAAATGCCTTTTTATTTTAAAGGAAAGGATAGGAAGCTGCTGTAGGAGGCTTGTCTAAGCTCTTCTATAATGCGAGAGTGCTTGCTGATTTTTTTGGCTTTGCTATTTAAAATATGTGAGCTAAATCTAATGAGATGTAGATAATGGAGCTGTATTTCATCTGTATAGTTGCTGTTAAACCAGCAATATTGCCATGTTTCTAAAAGCTGAAGATAGGAGCTGATACAGTAACAGTCCTGTATAAGTACAATGTAACTCTGCTGATGAGTTACCCTTTTTTTTTTTTTCTGTGAATATGCATCTAATTGCAGTAGTGATTAGAGTTGCATGTTCACAAAAAGGGAAAATTGACCCCTGCTGAGAGTTGGTGGAGGATTAGGTTTTTTTTCTTAACAAACCATCTGCTTTTGTGTATACTGAAGACATGTTGAATGTTTTCTTGAAAATAAAGTGACAATCTGAGTCAATAAACAGGTTCTACTTTATCTAATTCTTGTAACAGAGTTAATCTATCTGCATATTCGATGTGATACCATCACTGACAGCATTAAAAGTTGTTTTGCTTTTATTCCTCCCTGTTTTGTTTTTTTTTTTTTATTTCAGGCATTTTATGATCTTATGTGACAAGAATGCTTTTGTTTTAGCCTGGATTTAAAGGGGGGAATGGGGGTGGTTTCAGTTTATCTTTTTGGTTTTTCTCATTCCCTCAGCTGTAACACTGTGAGCACTGCTGTAAAGATCAGCTATGCTATTGGTTAGGTAACTGGAATTGATTATAATGCATAAAAATACAAGTTTATAGATATTTTTTTGAATGTAGACATGCTTCGCTCTAAGACTTACAATAGGGCAATGGATTACTGTTTGAAAGAATTTCCCCATACTTTTAAACTGTATCACTAGGCTAATGAGATTCTCTTGTGGCTGGCATTAAGTACAAAGTTATTTACTCAGTATAATATACATATTATAAATGCTGCTTCTGGTTTTACATTTTAGGTGTAAAAATATTTGGAGGGAGAATAAGTGGTTCAACAAGTAACGCTCTAATGGATGACAGAGAATTTCCACCAAATGATCTACAAATAG